CTCTAGCCAGAACATGCCACGAGTTGAACCTCGAGCTAGCCAAGCACACACCCCACCCTTTGCCCTCTGCCCTTCTCTGGTATCCCGAATTCACGCTTCTTCTTCTTCTTCTTCTTCCCTTTTCAAGGCTACGGTTTCCTCCAGCCAGCCCAAGCGGAGATCTTTGCCCGCCAGCAAGAGATGCTCAGGAAACAGAATCTTGCCAGGTGAGAGTTGCCACACAAGTCAAATACACTCAGGGCTTGGCACCCCTGCCCGCCTGCCCGCCTGCCCCCACATTTGTCCCTGGATGACCAGCAATTACCGGGTAGACTTGGCCGAGCCAGAGAAATGGGGCATTCTTTTTTTAATCCTGGATATTTCTGGGCAGCCGGCTTTGTTTGGAGAACACGAGAAGATGGGAGGTGTGGATTTGAATTGGTTGGGCCTGGCAGTGCCCGCGGTGCCTCCCATGTTGGGCTCTGCTTAGACCCCTCGCTGACCGGGAGGGGCCAGAGGAAGAATTAAAAGCAAAGCTGAGCTTGTCCACTTCATGAAAGTCTCTTTATACGGAAGTCATTTCCCACTGGCCTTCATTTTAGGAGGCTAGGTTTTTCTCACCCCAAATATCCCCCGTCTGTGATTTTCTTGTAGTGTCAGGATTCCAGCAATCGCCCTAAATAAATCAAGATTCTCGAGCCAAACTTCAAAAAACTTCTAAGGATCCATTAGAGGCGACATCCTGTTTCCCCCACTCCCCCCGGGTGTCTCGTAAACCAAATTCTCCCAATTGAGCACGTTCGTAGGCTGGGTGTCATCATTTGCGTTCTCCAATTAGATATCTTAGTGGGCAAAAGCTCCAGTATTTTAGTTACAACCTTTTAAAGATAAGAATTGGAATGTATTGTGATGATCTAGGGTGGGATACAAAACAAACACAGTCACAGAAAACAGGTGAAGCCCCTTTTATTCCTTCAGTTTGCTTCCAAGCTCCGAATATATTTGACGGAAGACAAAAAAACTCCCACACAATTACACAAAGAAGGAATAAAGTAACACAAACCAGGCAAGATAAGGGCTGGAGGATGTCCACAGATAACACACACTGGGAAGGACGCCAAACTCAGAGAGGAACCATAAACTCTGTCACCAACCAAGACAGGGGTCAAGTGAGTTTTATGCTGATGCAATGAGGGTGAGTCAGCAGAGTCATTGCTGTTTTAAGACTGAGGATGGGCCCCACAGGACTTTTAACCAACTGCCGCTTTAACAAACTGTCTATATAAAAGGCGGCCCTGAGAGGGCGTATCTCTCTCTCCTTGTGTTCTGTCTCCATTGTAGTTCTCCGTGCAGAGCGCAGAAGATAGATTACTTGCCTGCCATGTATATGTACGTATATAGCCGTCTTATATATAAAACGCTGTTAAAAGGCAAAGCCTCTGTGTGCTGTGTGTTGCTCCTGAGTTGCCTCACAATAGCAAACACTCTGACGTGGGATTTCAATGACATCTCTCCTCTCTCAAACCCAATTCTCTACCCGCCTAGGCTGGAGATGTCCGCGGAAATTATCCGGCAGAAAGAACTGGAAAACCTTCACCGCCAGCGGCTCCTGGCGAGCGACCCCATGGCTTTGCACCCGGGCCTTCCCCCAGACCACCCCGCTTTGCGGAGCCTCCACGAGATCCCGGAAGGGCACCCGCTTCGGGACGAGCTCTCCCGGAGGAACGCCATGCTGGTCCTCCGGCACAACAACGCCCCGCTGCTCTCGCTCAACCCTCAAGGGGTCCCCGCCGTCTCCACCACCCCTCCCAAGGAGCAGGGCACGCGGAGGGGCAGCCGGAAGGCCGCGCACTCGCGCTCCGAGGCTCTGGGCCAGAGCGAATCCAAAGACTTGTTGGACAGCCGTCCGCCGGAGGAAATGAAGGACTCGGATAGCGACGCCGAAGCGAGCGACGAGAAACCGGAGGCGCTGAAGCCCGAGAACAGCGGAGCGGCTGGCGAGGTTAAGGAGTGCAAAGAGGCCGTGGCAAAGATTGGCGAGGGCGCCAAAGAACTGGGCGAGGTGCCAGCTGGGCAGAACCAGCCCTGCAGTTCCTCCAATCCGGAGTTGCCTAGCTATCTCCTGGGCCCGACCGTTGGCAAAGCGGAGGCCAAGCTACTCCCCACGGCGTCCCTCCCACCACCCCAGCCGCTGCCGTTTGGTTTCCCGTATACGATGAGTCCGTATTTCCATGCAGGTGAGTCAAGGGGGACTATTGGGGTTCTTGGATGCGGGAGAACACACCTTTTTTGGGTTGGGGGGTGGTGGAGAAAGAGCAAAATGTGAAGAATTCCCAAGAGGAATCTGGCAATCGTGGTGTAAAGATTGGGTCAAATTTTAGGGCCCAATCTTGGCCATTTGGCTAAGATCGAGTGTAGGGCCCTGTTTCTGGCGAGGGGAACCAAAATCCATCATCCCCAGCTTACTGAAACGTCACCCAGAGTTCCTTGGGCTAAAGAAGGGTACACAATCTATATATATATAAAATTGAAGTACCCCTCACGCATCATCACAAAATCTCCAAAACCATAAAGCCTACAAACTTGAAATTTGGCACACAGGTTCCTCTTGGCTACTAAATAGATATATATATTTAAAAAATTAGACAAAGACTCACCGACGCCAGAGCTGGAAATCTCTCTTATTCCCAAAAGTTTGCAAAAATCCCTCCAGGTCTTTTGTCCAAGGTTGGATCTCCTGCCACAGAGTTTTAAACTGACCGGTTTGCGTTAGCTACCACATCCAAGAGTTAAATGCACATTTTTTATTTTTTCTTCATTTGCAGTTTTTACTGAGATGGGGTGGGGAAGTCATGGTTAAACCCTGAGACTTTGTCCAAAATAATTTGTCATTTTTTTTCCCCCAGAGATTTATTCCTTCCGTCCACACACACATACACACACACACACAATTTCAACATCCCCCCCCCCCCCAAAAAAAAATCTGGGCAACTCATTAAAATGTTGTGCATCACATTCCCAAGCCAAGAAGTTAGTTGGAAAAACGTTTCTGAAATTTTGCTTTGTTTAAAGAGAGAATTCGCCTAATTTCCGATAACTTCCTAGATGCATCCTTGCAGTTTTCCTGGCAGCGGAACAGATTCCCCCCCCCCCGCGCCCCCCCTTTCTGGAATTAGTGCTCCCCTTGATCCTGATTGTATCCCTCTGTTAAATGCAACAGAGATCCTGGCTTATCTCCGCCATAATTCAGCGACCTGGCTGACGTCCACCCGCTCTGCGCCCCTTCCTGCTAGTTCTTACCACCCTGTGCTGGATTCGTCCTCGGAACCGCCTCCCCTCCTTCCGCCTGAAAAGCCCTCCCAACATGTCGAAATCATTAGTGCCTTTGACTGCCCTCCCCCTTTCTTCTCCAATCCCCCCCCTTCCTCGAAGGCTTTCCCCACCTCCAGGCTAGGAAAAACCCCTCCGGAGGAGTTCGCCTCCCAGTTGACCCTTGCCTGGTATTTTTAATTGACAGTTCATTAAAGATGGATGCGCGGCTGGGGCGGAAACGCGGGAACAGCGGAGAGCAGGCTGGGTGTCCCCTGGGGAGGGAGATTGTGAGGGGGGGGAAGTGAGTGGGGGGGGAAAGCTTTGGTGATTTATGTTTCGTCTTTTCCGTCTCGCCTCCGCTCACCCCCGTTTCCCCCTCTGTGCCAAACCCCCCCCCCCCCCCCCCCCCCCTTTCCCCCCTCGGCCCAAACCCCCCCCCCCCCCAAAAAAACCTTCCTCTTTTTTTCCCCCCGCTCCTTCCAGGCACAATGGGAGGTCTCTTTCTGGATGGGGACGAGGGTCCCGCCGCCACGGCGTTGCAAGACGTCAGTAAATGGAGCATCGATGACGTGTGCAGTTTCGTGAGCTGCCTCTCCGGTTGTGCTGAATACAGCCAGGTATGTTCCCTTAATATTTGCAGGGGAAAAAAAGGGGGCAACACAACTCAACACAACGCACCCTGTTGCACATATACAACGGGCGACAGAGGACGACGGAGTTTCAGGAGTCAAAGGCTCCCAAAGTTGTTGTTTATTTATGGCTGCATGTTTATTTTTTTTGTTTATTAAATTTTATTCAATTTTCAAAATTTAAAATCATAAAACCAAACTTTATACATCGTTATATCAACGCCAAGACATCTTTTACATTTCCTTATCGTCTTTCCATATACCCATTTCTTTCATTCTACAATTTCAACTTAATATATAAATAAATGGAGATAGATATGAATATAGAGATCAGTATTTACATCGTTTCTTATCCTTTGCCTGATTGTCATAATATGGCTGCATATGTTTAGCCTGTTTTTCCTGAGTCCTAGCCTTGGACTTACAGGTTGCCTCGTCATCCTGGTTGCTCTTCTTACACACACTTACACACTGTTAATGACACACTAAGCCTTTTCTGAGATCCAGAATGTCTCCCTGAGCATTTCGAAATCGGATCCAGTCAATCAACCCATCAGAATAACAGAGCTGGAAGGCACCTTGAGGTCTGCTAGTCCAACCCCCCTGCTCAAGCATCAAGTCCCTATGTCATTTCAGACAAGTGAATCCAAATCTTCTGAGGTTTTTGTCAGGCCTTGCACTCACTTTTTAATCACAGGGGCTAGAAACTTGGCTACTCTACCTTAAAAAGACCACTCTCTCTCGAGGCTCCTATTTTATTTATCCAATTTTTTTAATCACAGGGACTAGAAACTTGGCTACTCTTCCTTAAAAAGACCACTCTTTCGAGCATCTCATTCTGTTTATCCAATTTATATACCCTGCCCACTTCATCTGAGCCCCTGGGAGGTTTGAGATCCCAGTAGCCCTTAGACTTATATACCGCTTCAGCCCCCTCTAAGCGGTTTGCAGAGCCGGGAACAAAAGATTAAAACCCAGCCACATAAAAAAGAGACACAGATTTAAAAAAAACGAAGTTTAAAATAATTTTAAAAGGACGGGGAGGGGAGTTAATACCCTGAAGCCACCTAGCCTAAAACGATTCATCCGCGCAGACTTTTCACCAGGATGGAATTTCCTGATTTGGTTCTAAGAGCTTGACAAGAAATTTTTTTTAAAAAAAAAAAGAAAATGGAAAAATAATATTTCCAGACGAAGGATCAAGCAACCCCCATGTTGGCTTAGCTCGCCTAATAAAAGCAGCGCTGATGGAAGTCCAATT